TAACCGTGTCAAAGTAATTAAGGACCTCGGCATTATACTGGATGAGAAAATGAACTTCAATGCACATATTGAGTTCATTACTGCCGAAGCAAAATCAAGATTGGCTTGGATAAAGCATTTTGGAAGAGAGTTTGAGGATCCATGGACTATTAAGAAACTCTTCTTCACCTTTGTACTGCCAATTATAGAATATGGCTCCCAGATTTGGAACCCATACACTGCCGACAAGATTGCTAGACTTGAATCCATACAAAAGCAATTTTTACTATTTGCACTGCGCAGAATGAGATGGTCAAACGGATTCAAATTACCATCATATGAATTTCGATTGCTGCATTTACAAATGATTACCCTTGATGAACGAAGAAAGATTGCTCAAATATCGATGGTGCATAATGTACTATGTGGACATACATCGTCGAAATACATAACCAGCCAAATAAGAATCAGAACACCACGGCATCGGACAAGAGATATAGATTTCTTATCACTACCAATAAGACACCATAATTATTCCAAATTTGAGCCCATAAATAACATACTTATTACATATAACGATTTTTATAAGAAATTTGTTCCTATTAAACCGCCATATGCAACTGATGGATGTGACACTAATGTTATTCCAATTTGTGATACTTATCTAATTGATTTCAATGTTAGTACTGATACTGTTAAACAGAGGGTAACTGAATTTTTTAAAAGAAGTAGAGTGTGGAGAAAATAAAAGAAATATTGTAAATATATTGATATGATATTTATAACAAATAAACCACCTTTGGCGAAGAAACGCTGTATGGTGCAGAATAATAATAATAATAAAATTTGGGCAAGCGGCTGAAGGTCTGTGAAAAGAGCCGTGGTGGACATTTGCACGATATTCTTTTTCATACATAAATGGTAAAGACCAAACTACAACATACAATAAAGATTTGGAAAATTGGAAACTATTTTCATTGTTTTTTTTATAAATACTTTTTTGCGTTGCTATTGGGACACCCTTTACTCTTTGATTTTGAGTATGTCTCGACCTACTCATTTTTTACCCAAAGAGTAACTCTACACCTACTCTTTTTCCTACTCTTTTTCATACTCATTTGAGTATGTCTCGACATACTCATTTTCAATTTTTTTTTCTCCTCAGAAAAAGTTATATATCCTTTATATATTTTTCTGAGGGAGGGAAAACGAGTGAGTAAGTGTAGAGTTACTCTTTCGCAAAAAAATGAGTAAGTCGAGACATAAGGTAATGTCGGGTCATTTGGGACGGCTTAGCTTCTAATTTTAAACCTTCTTTTCAGATGGGAATTTTTTAGAGTTTAAGGTATCGTTGGAAAGGTAACCTCCAAAGCTAACTTTTTGCCGAAGAAAGTCCTTCAATTGTGTCAGTGAAAAAAAAGTTATGTAAATTTTTCCAACTACCATTTTTTTGGCCAAAAAAAAAAATGTCGGGTCATTTGGGACACTACAAAAAATCTGAAAAATAAGTGAAAATAAGTAATATAATGAAATAATAACACTGTATATCGACGTTTTGTTGCGTCTTTATTGATTTTTCGTCATGTACGATAAATATTGACACATTTTTTGGATTGTAATTCACTTTTTGTCATGTACAGAAAAAATGTTGGCGATTATTCGTCACTGTCATCTTGATCATCGACTTCTTCGTCGTATTCGGAATCGCAGTGTTCGCAGATGAAACCACCCGCATACATTTTGGCACATTTCAAGTGTACGGGCGTTTTGCACGTATTGCATTTGACGGAATTTTCCTTCGTCAGTTTTGTCGGTAACTGTTGCATACATATGATGCAATAATCTTCATCGGATGAACTTGAGGGCTTCTTTCGGCGTTTGGCTGGTGCTTTTTTCGATTTGGACGCTTTATTCGCCTTTCTCTCAGCTTTCTTCTTTTCTGCATCCTCTCGTCGATTTTCGAGTATGCTTCGGCATTTTTAACACTAAATTTGTAAAAAAACACGTTAAAATCTTTTTTACATTCACTAATTTCACTTGAAATACGATCATTAGTTATAAAAATGGCGTCTCCATGCAAAATACACATTTCATGTTAGTGTCCCAAATGACCCGACACGAGTGTCCCAACAGTGCCAAACAGACGCCATTTTTGATGCAACCAAAAAAAAATTCCATGATGCAATATTGCCAGAATGCTAAGTAAATATCGAAAAAAGATAAATTTTACAACAAATATACGATATTTACCTTCAACAATAGTCGGAAAAATATTCACTTTTGAATGGTCGGTTAAATGCTATATTTAAGTATTTTTCACAAATTTTATCACGTGTATCAGCTCACTAACAAGAAATGCGACTTGACTCGTCGAAATACCATCAATAGTGTTCATTAGGCGTGCCATTAACATAGCAGCAATGACATTTGACAGTCACTGTCAAATTATGGAAATATGGCACCGTCCCAAATGACCCGACATTACCTTACTCAAATGAGTCGGAAAAAGAGTATGAAAAAGAGTAGGAAAAAGAGTAGGTGTAGAGTTACTCTTTGGGTAAAAAATGAGTAGGTCGAGACATACTCAAATGAGTAGGAAAAAGAGTATGAAAAAGAGTATGAAAAAGAGTAGGAAAAAGAGTAGGTGTAGAGTTACTCTTTGGGTAAAAAATGAGTATGTCGAGACATACTCAAATGAGTAGGAAAAAGAGTATGAAAAAGAGTATGAAAAAGAGTAGGAAAAAGAGTAGGTGTAGAGTCAATCTTTGGGTAAAAAATGAGTAGGTCGAGACATACTCAAAATCAAAGAGTATATACTCTGAGTATATACTCTCATACTCAAAGAGTATCTATGAGTATGAGAGTATGTCGAGACATACTCATTTTCCGTTTGTATGGGAGTAGGAGTAGGAGTATGAATTATACTCTCTTACTCCGCCCACTTGTAGCTGTGATCGACTCTATCAAAGGTTTTCGTAAAGTCCGTGTACAGGACATCAACTTCAGCTCCAGTGTTTAAGCCACTCTGGGCGTAGTACACAAACTCGGTTGGGTTTGATGCTGTAGATCGTCCTTTCATAAATCCATGTTGGTTGGGCGAGATGCGATCACGAACAATTTCAAGCAAATTTACGTTGACGAGGTGCTCGAAGAATTTAGCGATCGTTGGTAGTTTTGCTATGCACCTGTAGTTTTCAATGTCCGATCTGGCGCCCTTTTTGAATATGGGTGATACACTCGATCGTTTCCATTCGTCGGGAAAAATGCCAGATGAAAGCGACTCATTGAAGATCTTAGTCAACGGACTAGCAAGCGTTGGAGCACACTCCTTCAAAATCAAAGGATGAATACCGTCAGGTCCAACACCTTTCTTGGTATTGACCTTCGTCATTTCAGCCATGACAAAATCAAGGTCAAGCTGGAAACAAGAGGTGTTCTCAGACTGAAGTGACGGTTGATTATTTGGTGTCGTAGATGTGGAGTAATTGCTCCCGAAGAAGTCCGCAAATAAATTTGCTTGCTCCGATTCGCTGGATGTCTTGGAGTCGCCGAATCGCATGGTTTTCGGTATGTTATCAGTGCTCTTTTTAGAGTTAACATATTGCCAAAACGAAGATGGATCACTTTTCAAGTTTGATTTCATTTTGTCGACGTACTGATTGTAAAGCTCGGCATTTTTTGCACTGAATTCCTCGTGCAATTCTTCAAATGGCTGCTTGTCATTGGTCAGCTTCCAGTAATCCCAGGCTTTTTTCCTTAAATTCTTGAGATGCCGAAGTTCTTTGTTTTTCCATGGGTATTTTTGGTTGTTCTTGCGGACATACGTTGGAACCGTACACTGAATAGCTTCCGCTAGCACGTCATGAAGGGATGACACCTTCTCCGCAAGTGATTTGTTTGCGAATAAGTCATCGAAATTGACGGCAGCAAAATATTCGTTCATGCGCTGAAAATCAGCCCGTTTGAAATTGAAATGCGTGTTATTCTGGTTTTCCGAACCATTGTTAATCGGATGCCATTCAAATTCAATCAACAAAGGAGGGTGGTGAATGTCGATTTTATCCGTCAATGACAGTTTAGTAGCATCGCTCACTGTTGTGTTGGCATGGTCGTTAGTAAAAAATAGGTCCAACAGTTTTAGGTTCCGATTTCTTATTGAATTTATTTGCTGGAGGCCCAGGCCCATCAGGCCGGTAATGAAATCAGCAGCACATTGGGAGTGGAAATTAGAGGGAACAAGCACATTGCTATCCTCATCGTCATTTATCCACTCAACGTTTGTCAGATTAAAGTCACCAACAACTATCACAACGTCATCGGCATTCGTCGTGAGTGATTCAATGGCTGAACGATGCAAAGCGTAGATTTCGTTGGGTGAGTTCGGTGGAATGTATGCATTATAAATGAAAATGTTGTGTGTTGGCAAGCTCGCTTTAATGCATACGTGCTCAATGTCCACGTTGTCAAATTTAATTTCTTCAGTAGAGAAGACTTTATTGTTGAGCGCAATGAGAACACCTCCACCTCGTCTAAATAATCTGTCTTTGCGGTAGACGTCGTATGTGCTATCGAAGAATTCGGCATTTCGGTGGCTATGTTTGAGCCAGGTTTCAGTCAAGATGACTATGTCAAAACCGAAAGCAGCACATTTGTGGAAAAATTCATCCTGTTTGTTACCCAAGCTGCGAATGTTTTGGTAATAGACACTGATGCGTGTCGCGTCGGGTGTGTGCAGCTTGGGGTTTAACGGAATCGTCTGTTGCCCACGCGATGGGCGAAACGGTTTTGCTGTTGCTCGGAGTTTGCTGCGCGGTAGTGGCTTGGGCGCTGAGCAAATGGATTGAACCAATGGTTCACACTCGGTGTCGTCAGTGCCTGTGTATAGGCGTACATTGGCTGAGGATGGTTTCTGACTCTGTTTATGTGGCCATTTGGGTGCATCCCGTTTTTTGACTGCCGGTTTGAATTTGCATGTGATGCACTGATGGACGAGAGAGGTTTCGGTTTGTCCACGAATTCACAGGCCTTAATTGAACTCGGCCATATCGACGGGTTAACAATACGTTCAAAGTATTGACGAGGAAAGGTCAGTTTGAACGTTATGAATTTGTAGCTTGAAATTGGCCGGCCCCCACGTGTCAATCTTTTGCATTGAATTTCATTTACAATGTTAGATGTGGAATCAATGAAGCGCAAATGATTCAAAATATCATCACAGGTGGTGTCGTTAGAGAAGCGTGAGATGTGAACGCTCTTCATCAGTTTAGATGACAGTAGAACTGACGGAGCAATTTTCTTGTGTAAATTGCTGACCTGTGGTAACGGTACCGCTTTGGCGTGCAAATTGCCGGCTTGAGCGCGTGAAGCATTTTTCGTAATCGGTTTGCGGGCCGGAGCGTGGACCAAATTGCGCAAATTCGTTGCATTCTGCAGAACTGATGGTGTCGAGACAGTTTCATCGGTAGCGTTATCAACGCGCAACATACCCGGATCGTCAGATGATGTGAAGCACGAACGTTTTACTGTTTCATTGAATGAGCGATCAATTTTACGCTTACCGTGTTTTTGGTTCGGGCGTGGAGTATCCATGTAAACACTCGATGTGGCATCACCCGATTCGACAGTTGGGACGATTGTACTGTCA